AGAGAGAGAGAGAGAGAGAGAGAGAGAGAGAGAGAGAGAGAGAGAGAGAGAGAGAGAGAGAGAGAAGGGATTCGTGAAAACCTCACAATCGAAAAAAACCTAACATTTCTTATAGAATGAAAAAGTAAAAGTCAAACTGCTATTTTTTACACAAAAAGAGAGCGTTTTTAATTGTTTTGCGATAAAGGAGGCAAAAAATCAAGTGAAAAGTCTAGCGTTCCTCAAAATGTGCAAGAAAACCCTTCCTTGCAAAATGCTTTTATATGACTATAAGTAATTCTTAGTAGATTGGCAAAAAAACAGAGTTCAAACAGGGTAATTTTTAAGGATGACAACGCAAACTTGAAAGATGTGAAAAAAAACCTGTTTTGGTGAATACTCATTTATAGGACTATAAGTCAGTTTCCGCAGTTGGGTAAAAGCCACGCTCTGCACAAAATAATTTATAGGACTATAAATCACTTTTGAACTTAACAATAAAACTCTTATAAAAATATATATGTCATTTAAAATAAGAATACAAACAACTTTTGCCTCGAAGACACCTTGAAATTCTTAGCCAAACATGAGTTTAAAATAAAAATATAAGGAAAAAAATTAAAACAAACAATAAAAAATAATATATTCGCCCATGTATGGAAAACCATGTTCAAACGAACGTATTCACGAACAGGAGAATATGTTTGCACGTTCGGAAGACCCCCGAGTAAATTCATCGTGCTACACATCTTATAGGACTATAAACACAATTGTTTTGGATAACAAAAAATCAGGATATTCCAGTTCTTGAACCTACGGTGCTTCACCAGGTCATGATTTTCTATGAAAAAAACTGTTTTATTCCTCGCCCCCTCCAGTAGTTCAGAAAATTCAAATTTCTGTTCTTTTTTTTGCAGATGTTTCACTTCACGTAGAATTTTGTTCCTGGAGGAGACCTGAAAAACGTACTATCATAATCTTCAATAGATTTTGTGCAAACCTAACAATTTGTTTTGTTAGGTTTTCACAAATCCTATGTGTGTGTGTGTGTGTGTGTGTGTGTGTGTGTGTGTGTGTGTGTGTG